GGTTACGGTTGGCTTTTTGAGAGCTTTGGGAGTTCAGGGTTAGGGTTTGTTGTTGACGCTCGGCTTTGAAATCACATGTTCAAGGCGGCCACGTCTTCTTCGTGGGGATTAAGACATCACACCCATGCCTACGACCCTCAACCCCGGACCTTTGGTCCTATAGGAGTTCTTCTCGAACATACATCAAGGAATGTCGATTTGTCTGTATACCCGCGGAGTATTAAATTCTTGCAGGAAATGGCCTTCTGTGAACCCCCCCAAGCCCCAAACCCCACGCCACAAGCCCCAACCCCAATGACTCAAGGAGAAGGCCGGGAAGTGGGAGGAGGCTCTGTGCTTGATCTCGGCCATGCGCTTCGGCTCTGGGATCCCCTTCTTAGAGGGCGGCTTGCAGGGTTTGGGGTTTCACAACCAGCTTTGTGAAGATAGTTTGGGTGGAGGGTGAGTGGAGGGGCGCAGGCCGAAACCAAGACCTCCACCCCTGGGGCGTCATCTCCACAAGAGCTTATCAACCAGGGTCCAAGCCCCTTGCTTTTCGCCACAGGCACCGGATCCTAAGCCGATTGAACCACTTCAAGAAGATCTGCGAGAGACCGTTATATACTCTGTGCATTATTCTATTGCATATTGTATTACGTATTCTGCTATACAATATCTGAGGTGTGATATATTGCCTTTAAAAAATGTGCATTGTGTAACTTGTATTATGATTTATATACTATAGGTTTTATGTTCTATATTGCAATATATAACGTTAATTCTCGACAGCTTTCATGTTATAGGCTGTATACGCTGCATTATGTACTTCAAGCGTATTCTTTGATTTTTATCGGTTTTTTAACATTTCATGTTATTTGATAAGTCGTCTACATTCGACATTGTATATCACTATAACACCTGATATGATATTATAAGAAGTTGTGTAGATGTTATGCTACAGTTTTGTTATGTGATATGTTCTAAACCCCAAATAACATATCATGTTCTGACACATGCTGCATACAAAAAACATATTAATACATAAACATAAATATAAATAAATAAATATAAATATAAATATAAATATAAATATAAATATAAATATAAATATATATATATATATATAGATATATATGCATCCCAGGTCCCGGAACCGCGTGGAGGCCGATGCTGTTTGTGCCGGCGCAGCGCTGAGCGCGTGCGAGCTGCCAGGCTGCAGGTCGTGCCCAAAAATGCCGAAGCCCTATAAATCCCCTATAAATCCCCAAGATTCCCTAGAGCTTGAACCCTACAGAACCTGCTGGCACATTTTTTTCATGGACACAGGAGGCCTTTCTGCTTGACATGCAGCCTCAAACCCGAACGGCCCTTACTGCTCGGAGCTTGCAACAGTAACACAGGAAAGGCCAACAGCGCTCAGCCGCCTTGAAGCTCTTCCGCTCCTTGCGCAATAGCGGATGCCAGCTGGACGCGACTCTTGGCACACGGTGTGAGACATTTGAATGCGAGTGACGGCACCAACCTCTCTTGTGCAAAGAACTACTTCAGGCATCTCTGTGTCCGACTTGCAGGTTCGTTAGTTTCAGATGTGTTGTCGTGTGGCCATCTGCAGTGCGAGCTGGCCCTGCGTCTGCGGCAAGAGGTTTCCCAGACGGCCTAATGCAGGAGCCTGAGTAGCTTAAAACATTAAGCCCGTATCTTCCCTGCATAGTTATGACCCAAAATAGCCTTCTACTGAACCTGGCTCCTATATTGTGCGATGGCACAGGTTGGCATCTCTTCATAGCGAAGCTGCTTTTATGTGGGCTGGGTCTGTCATGCATTCTAAGGATTGCCTTCCATGCGCCCCGGCAAGGAGGTTGGAGGTTGGGGCAAGTTGGGGTTCAGGGATAAAGGATTCGTGTTTACGGTTTAGGGTTTAGGGTTTAGGGCGGTTTAGGTTGTAGGGGAAGGCAGCATACGAGATTCCAGCTTCCAAGTCCTCCTGAGGCTACCATCAGCGCTTGCGCCACTTGGCCTCGATGCTTTTGCCAAGATGTTGACCCTAAGCCCTGACATCATTACACCGCCGATCCGCGAAGTCCTGGCGCCCTGAGCATGCAAAACCCTGAGCCGCAAAGGTAAGCTCTGAACCCGAAGCCCTGTGGCCCACAGCCTGAGGCAGGAATCCTGCACTCAAAGCTCCACACCCGACCCCAAACCCACAATCCACGTCCTGAGTGGGTGCACGAGATTTCCCACAACATGGTTTGCCCAGTGCCTTCTAGACGTTAGCAATAGGGCGCAGGGGGGGAGGGAAAGGAAAAACCTTATAAACCCCAAACCTACAGAGATGGATGTCCTTGGAGGAGAAGGGCGCCGACTGGTGCTGGGCTTTGGAGTTGCTCAGGGAGCGCGAGAGGCCAAAGAGTTGAAGGGTCATAGGGGCCAGGGCGAACACAGGGTTTGGGGGTGTTGAGGGGTTGAGGATTTAGGGGTTGAGGGTTTAGGGTGATGGGCTTGAATTTGAGAGAGGAGCTTCAGAGAAAGGTCAGAGTCAAGGGTTTGCGGACTTTCGCAAAGTCACGAAAGCTAGCCTCTGAGGGCTAGCGGATTATCTTACTTAAGCGAAGCTTACAACCTGAAGGGTATACAGGGCCCCCGAAGGCTCCGCCACGAAACGCAGCAAACCCGATCGATTTCCGGTGGCGAAACACAGGTTTTGGGGAAACGGGCTGGCGTTCATTTCTTTCGTATATTGGGTGCAAATGAAAGCCGTTTTCTGTGGATCCCAGGCCACAGAAAAGCCCCCCAAGAGAAGACTCAGAAGCCTTGATGTTGACTTGAGTCCGGCGTCCCTCAAAGCTGGATTGGACAGACTTCGCCTGGTGAGTGCAACATCTGTTGTGGTGTCATGCGTTTCAAAAAAGAGCCCTCCGGAAGATGCTAAAACACCGCAGAGCAAAGCAACACACCAACACGGCCTGCTGCCTTTGCGTGTGCTTGTCCTGCTGCGTAGTTGATGCCATGTTGACGGAAGCTCTTCCGTGGGGGTACCTTAACTAGCTTTCGTCCCAGGCCCTCACCCCCAAGTAGGAGGGAGTCATGCATCCCTTCAGTATACGTCTGCACAGAAGTGCCCATTATATATATATATATATATCACATATATACCGGTGACTCCAACAATGTCTTCAGTTTCCCCGGTGTCGCTATGGCAGTTCGCTGCAGCGAGGCAGCAGTTTCCATCTTGGGGTTTAGGGCTTGTAGGGTTGGCAGTGTTTATAGGGTTTATGAGGCCTGTAGGGCTTGTAGGGTTTCTAGGGTTTGCGCGGTGTAGGCGTCCTGGAGGTGCAACTTGAACGAAGAGACGGGCACGGATGCGCACAGGCCCAAATCGTGAGTGCGTGCATGACCACTCGTCCTTGAACTCAGGGTTTAGATGGGTCTAGCTGAAGGTGTGCTGTTTAGGGCAGATTGGAGGCCCGTTGGTGTGGCGTTTGAGGTTTAGTCTTCGAAAGGTGCATTATGAGGCTTAAAGGTTTGGACACACGTTTGGCGAGCTTGCTCAAGCATGCGAAGCCAGATGATAGAATGTTCCAATCTGCGCCTGCCCTTACGCTGAAACTATTCGCTTTTTGGAAATGCCATTCCCCCCCCCCCCCCCCTAAACGCTAAAAAACCCAAAATGTTCTAAGAACTCTGGCAACTAAAAGTCCTGTAGCCCTTGTCCATCTTCTTCGATTTTCCATGGTCGCATGAAGGCGCGGTCCGGTGGGCCTAAGTGCAGCCGTCAGCGCATGCGAGCTCCTCGACATAAGACACTAGGGTTGGGGGTTTAGGGTTTAGGGTTGGAATTCTGCAGGATTGAAGTTCGGGCGTACGATCAAGCAAGTGTGCATTGCACTGGCTTAGCTGTAAGATCACAGCTCCTTGGCTACCAGCGCACAACCTTTGAATGACAAGGCCTTGGTCATGCACTTCTATATGACAACCAAACGCCTTGCTGATGTGGCCTTCCGAAAGCCTAAGCTCAAAGGATAAACCCCAAAAAACACTTTCACGCCCTGGACCCTCAAACTTGGAGTCCTTAACGCCATGGCCCTCTTCTCCTCAGGAAATCTCGGGAGTGGCGGACTGCCCTGCAGCTTCTGGCATATGCGGACAGCCGGAAAGCTGCTCAAACGATTTATGGAGAAACCTGGGCTTGGGGTTTTGGAGGAGTTCAAATTTAGGCTTTGGGGTGCCAGCTCCTTCTGGATGCCTTCGTCCCAGGCCTGCAAGTAGAAAGTAGAAAGAGGTTCACACAGTTGGCTGGACCCCAGTTCTAGGCCTCAACGCCCCGATCCATCTAAACCCAAGTAGGCTCCTGAGAACAACATGGCAACCCTAAACCGTTTTCCCTTAAACCCTAGACCCCAAACCCAGCATAATACAAAGTACTTGTCAGAGGGACCAACTGGCAAGGACCACCTGGTGGCCCAGACGGCTTGGGTGGGAGGGCCTTTGTTGAGCCTGTCAGAAAACCAAGTTGGGCGAGCACCATTTCGAACCAACAGCATCGTTAGGTATTTGGCCCCTGTCGTGATATGTTTGTTTCGAAAAACTCAAGCAAGAGACAGCATTCAGAAGCCTTGAAGTGCCTGCGATTCAGTTGAAACCTTACCATGTTTTGTTTTCGTGGCTTTAGTCTGTGGATGCTTTGTTACTTGACTAGATTTTGAGTAGTTTTTGGCATCGAAATTCATCGTGTCATGAACAAGTATTTGTTGGTTTTGCATTTTGAACGATTGTTTTCGCAGCCATTTTTTTACTTGTAGTGAGACCTCTCACTCCTCACAGTCTTAGTGCTGGCAGGAGGCAGAGGGAGCGGCAAGAGAGCTCAGTTGCAGTCAGCGAAGTTCAGGGCAGGACTCAGGATCCCCTACAACACTTTTGAACTGCAGCTACTGACTATGGTTTTCTTCAATGATTGTGGTGGCTAGTAACCAGCCAGAGCTTGTTACTGTAAGCCTCACATCGTGGCCTCGCTAAGCGAGACGATGTATGCCGAATACGCTGTCCCTGAAGAAGATCTTCACATTCGTCGGACTTGGCAGCATGTGCTTTTGCAGAACCTCGTGACAGGAGAGTTGGTGGTTTGGAAAGACACACAGTCCTGCAAGGAGTGTGATCTCCTGGCAGGGCCTCGTGGGTTTGTAATCCGGCTTGTGGATCTGGATGGAGAGAAGAATGAGATGCCAGCCCACGAGCAGTTGAGGTACGAGAAGGTCGCTGATCAAATTCGAGACAAAGTGGAGGGGACCACCGAGAGGTGGACAACAGCTGCAGCTGCTGTGAAAGGCTGTGCGATCAAGTTACAAGCCCATGGTCAACAAGTCTCACTTGCGAAATCTCGGCCTTCAAAATTCCCCGAGCAGCTGGGGTGTCAGGCTCATTATTTCCCCATCTCAGGTGGCTCGTGGCATTTTGTGGAGGTCATCAGAACAAGAACTTTGTTGGTGCATCCTCAGAGTCCTGGCACTTCAAAGTGGGCCAGTACCTTGCTGCTTTGGAAGGCGAAGAGGAGGACCTGGGTCCGGAGGAACTCAGGAAAAGGGTCCAAATTCACTTCGTTGTCAGTCGCAAAGCAGCAGTCGCGGCCAAGGCCAAGGCAAGGAGCAGGAAGCGAAAACAGCCCGAGGAGGAGGAGGAGGAGGACGAGGGGGAGGAGCAGCAGGTTGATGAGTCAGCCGAAGCTGACCCCGGACCTGCAGGCGAGTACTCGGCTTCCTTTTTCACAATTGGTGTCCTGCTGCTGCACTGGAGTACGAGGAAGCTCCACGAACGGAGTCGCTGGAAGGGGAGCAAGGAAGCTGTGGCAGCCAAAGCCACGACATTGTTGCGAGCCCTAGTCATTTGTTTCATCACTGCATCCCAGCAGGTCGAAGCCAAAGAGGCCAGGCTCAACATCACTGTCCAGAGCGACTCCGTGCAGCTGGACTGGCCATCGTTTTGCAGAAGCGATCCCACCGAAAGCCTCGAGTGCCTGGCTGAAATGATGCCTACAGGCGAAAGAGACTTCTGCGAATGCCTGCAGCAGTGCTGCAAGCAGGAGGTGAATCCCAACTTCACTTTGAAGAAAAGGAGAGCTTGCCAAAGGGCAGTGGCCTTGCTACTGCAATGCTTGTGCCACCTCATCGAAGCCAGCAGGATGGATGACATCTGGAAAGAAACCGAGCTGTGGCAAATACAGCCACTGAGGACGGGCATGCAGGGCCTGTTTGTGATGTGAGAGCATGCAGTGCATAAGCTTTGTTTTGATTGCTTTGCTTTGCTAGTTCACTTGCTGTTATTGCCTGGTGCAGGAGCCGAAAAGGCTACACGAGGCTGAGTGGTGAACAGAAGGCAGCTGTGCTGGAGCAGACGAAGAAGCAGAATCTCAGGTCAGTAGCCACTGTGCTGGCTTCTGTACAAGGATCGGAAGGGGGAAAGCAGCGAGGCACTCCTTTGATTGGCATGGAGAGGTACTCCTACTTGCAGCAAGCGAAGGTTACTTTTCGGAACTCTCGGTGGCTCAGCTTGGCAGTGGATGGAGTTCAAGTGGGCTCCAAGTCCCTGCTGAACACCTTGGCCTGGGATGGCGACAGCGGTTGGGCTTGCATCTTTCCCCCACAGGCGGGTTTGTTTTAGCTGAGAGCTTTTGTTTTGTGGTGTGTGTGGGCTGCTCATTCCAGACGAAGGGCCCTGTTTGCCATCGGCCTGTGCAACCTCCAGGAACCCAGGTGGTCCTGAGCCCAGATGTTCCTCACCAGTAGAGCAGGAACCCAGGTGGTCCTGAGCCCAGATGTTCCTCACCAGTAGAGCAAAACAGGCACCCAACTGGTCCTTGCAAGTCGCCCGGGGCAGCCACCCAAGTGGTCCGCGCCAGCTTTCCCGGGAGTCCGTTTTGGGTTAAAAATTGAGGCCGCAAAAATTTGGTTTCGCACCTAAGTCGTCCGCGCCAGTTTGGTACCCAAGTGGTCCGCGCCAGTTTGTCGGGCCCGGCAATTAAGGAAATGAGTAGGAGCCCCCCCCATTTACAACCCAAGTGGTCCGCGCCAGTTTGGTACCCAAGTGGTCCGCGCCATTTTTGGGGTTTTGCAGGGTTGTTTTTTGTCGAAAAACAGCTCCAAAACGCAGCAAAAAACAACCCAAAAAGCAACCCCCGCAGCATCCCCCCATAGCCCCCTCCAACCCCCCCGGTCAACCAGCCTCCCTTTCAGCCAGCCACCCACCCCCCCCCATGATCAAAGATGCTGCTCAGGCTTGCACAAGACTATCTCCGAATGACCCCTTGCTGAATTTTTTTCGCAGAGATCTTAGAGGACTTGGACGAACCGGCGACAACAGAGAGGAGAGAAGAGCAGGGTTTCTCAAGTCCCTGCATGAGTTGCCAGCCCATGAGCAGTTGAGGTGCAAGAACTTTGCTGGTGCACTTCAAGACCGAGTGGAAGGGACCCACAGCACAGAAGTGGAAACGATGCCATGCTGGCTCTAGCTCAGGTCAGAAGGGCCCTGTTTGCTTTCCCAGATCTGCCTTCATGATTGTGCTAGAGTCTAGAGGCACTCTGAGAAGGTTTTTGCTGTGTCGGTATGGGGGTGCTGCCTGGTGTGTGGGACAAACAGAGCAGGCCCAAGCTGTAGTTCATTGTTTTGGTGGCAGTGTCGGTGGGTCGGTGGAATCCACAGACGATACCAAAGGAGCCCACACAACAAAGCTTGGAGATGCAGCTCGGGCAAGACCATGACTCCTGACCCAGAGCCAGCGCGATAATATTGAGCTGGATCGTGCTGTCTCTGGGTCAGGCGTCTTTTTTTTTTTTATATTATTAATACTTTTGTTGCCAACCAGTGCCTCTTTAAGTTTAAGAGGCCTTCTGGACTCGGCCTGCCTGTGGGTTTCAGATTCGACCCCGGACATTGAGAAGCGAGGAGGCAAGAAAAAGACCGAGCCTGCAGCAATTCTTAGGATTGGAGTTTGCGACTGATTCTGTGAGCAGAGCGAGCATGAACCAGATCCATTGCTTTCGGTAGGTGGAACAAGCTAATAAAGAAGTGTGTATATATATATATATACACATACTTTTTTATATGTAGCTTTTCCTTTCTCCATCTCTCTCTGTATCTCTCTTTCTCTTTATCTCTCTATCTCTGTGCACATGTGCTTTTGGAAGACAGTTAGGGCTCAAGTCGTGAAAGATAACCTTTCGCAGCTACTCCGAAGCACCTATGGCGAGTCCAGTGCTGCCGACGGAATCCGAACCCATTGCGAAGTTGAAGAGGGGTCTACGAAGGTACTTTGAGGAAGACGAAGAGTTCCGTGTGGACCCCCACCATGCAACTGAGCCGCTGCAATGCCTCAGAGACTCCAAGAAACGCTCCCGAGACTTGGAAGCTGAGGGCCGGAGTTTGAGGGCACGGATTGACAGTCTGCAAACACAGCTGGACATTTCCAACAAGGCCAATATAGATGCAGAGCTAGCGATCCAAGAACGAGATCTCGAGCTGGGAACAAAGAACGACCATATCAAGATGCTCCTACAAGAGAGAGATCAGCTCCGGCTCTGTGTCAAGGGAGCACACGAAGCCTCAGGGAGACTCAAGCAAAGCCTGAAGGATCTCAATGCAGCAATGCAAGCCACAAAGATGGCCACCGAGGACGACACTTTTGTGCCATCAGAGTCCGAGGCTTGAGATGTGGCCACAGCGACTGAGACAGGGTGGCCTGTCTGCTGAAGTTGGAAAGCTCCTGAGTTTGAGTCCCTTTCACAAGTTAGTTTCTTCCAAGTCGGCTGCTGTGGAGAAAAAAGAGCGCTTTGCAGTACTGATTCCTCATGAGAAGCCATAAGACCTGCTAGGCTGGTCAGCCTGCCCGAACACTCTAAGCTTCAGCTTGGGTTTAGGGCTAGGCTTCCAGCCAAGCAGCTTGTACAGCTAGGTCTGCTGATTTGGAAACTGTGTCCTTTCAGGATTAGTAGCTGTGTCACTTTGAAACTCTATGCTGTCTGCGCTACAGTACTTCCAGTCAAAGATGTTTTTTCGAGACTTGGGCTCTGAACCGGCACCATTTCGATGGTAACGACAAAGGAGTCGCCACAAATAGATGTCTGCAGTTGTCCGTTTTCATATCTTCCAACTGTCTGTTCAAAAGATTATCCCAGATTCGATTTTCGGGTTTAGGGGCTCGAGTGTAAGGTTTTACAGTTTAGAGTTTGGGGGCATCGGTCGTATACTTCGAGAAGCAGCTTTCAATCAAAATGTGCTGCAAGCAGCTGTTGTTTTACAGGCACTGTTTGTAATGTCAAAAATGTAAGTTGAAATAGGTGTTTTCTTCATGTGTTTGTTGCCCTCTTGAAGAAAAGGAGCTTTGAAACCCGTTTCCCATGCAAAACATCATGCTGATTTCGTCCTGGTTTCTTTCGCTTTAAACACAACAACACACGAAACAACACCAAGTAAAAATTTCATATTTCAATGGCAACATGTTTTTGAGGGAATCAAACAGCTAAAACAACAATGAACAATAACCAACAGCAAAAACTGGCAGGGGCCCGGCAAACCCTTTGGACACCCAAGTGGTTTTGGCCACCAAGTGGTCCGCGCCAGTTGGCCCCTCCAATACTTGTAGGAGCCAAGAGGAGCAAGACCCGAATCCCACACCGCAGCTCCAAGGCACATCTCGATAGCATCGCATGCAACGCCGCCATCAGCGCCTGTGAGAAGAGTGTGGAGTGGAGGTCGGTCTGTGGTCAACTACTTCCTCCTTCCCCCCTACCTGAATCCCTCCCCCCCCCCTTCCCCCCTTCTACCTCTTAAAGCCCCCCCCCAACTCTTTCTGGACTCCAAACTCGGCATCCTCTAAACCGCAAAATCCCTAAACCCTTAACCCTACACCCTGAACCCGAAAAGCCCGCAGGTGGGCGGTGTTACTCCTTGGATCCATGCACGCAAGAGCTATTCGAAGAGATGAAGTGAGCCGCTCGGCTTGAGAGTCGTTTTTTGGGGGCTATGGGGAGTTAGGGATTCGATTTTAGGCTTTTAAGGTTCTGGGTTATAAGGTTCTGGGTTAGTGGGCTTATCGGGCGTGAGGATCTCAGTACAGAACCCAGAGAATCTAGCTCCCTTCATGGGCAACTTGTTTTGACCGATGCCCCGCATCAAGAGTCGTAGCCACGGACCGCCAGCGGCAAGCTGCTCACCAGGCTGCAACGCGGCTGTCAGCGCGTGCAGGGCCCAGCACTGTCAGATGGCACATCGCCCTAAAACCGCCTAAAGCACCTATATATCAGTCCAAATCCTCAAGGGCACCCTGGAATCACCAAGCAACGTTCAGGAAACTTGTGACCATCACCCCCCGAACCAAGCGAGCCAGTGTTCTGGGCCGACCTCATCTCCAACCCGAAAGCCCCCAACCATCTTCAACCTTGAGCACCAAGTACCCTAGAACCCGAAAAAGCCAAGAAACCTAGACCTCACCCAAAAAAGGTTTGCCAAGCCTGGTTGGTTATATGCAAGGGACCACGACAATAAAAATGTTGAATGGGGATGCTGGGAAGGGTTGAGAAACGAGGATCCACAAGTCAGGTGCGAGACCTGCTCTGAACCCGCCATCCGGGCCGCTCGCCCAACAAAGGAACCAAGACCATGGCTTGGAATGGGTCTGTGTAGGTTTGCGTAGGTTGAGGATGGCTGAGAGTTTAGAGTTTGGGGCCGGTGGTTTAGTCGGTTTAGTGAAGTTTAGTGGGTTTTGGGGTGACTTTTGGACCACTGAAGGCTTTGGCTTATAAATCTGCAAGGATCCGAGTACCAACTGCCGCTGTCTCACGGGACGAAATGGAGAGTCTAAAGGCTTTCTTCCTCAATAGGGACACCTGGGGGGGAAATCGGTCTCGCTGCTTGAAGATACCGGAAGTAAGATCTCGCTTGCAGCAGGGCCTAAGACTGCAAGGGGCAGACGGTTAGCTGTGAGAAGACGGCTGGAAAAGGGCTCCAAATGTACGAGCAGCGTGGCCCCTAAACCCCAATCGCTGGCACTCTCATCCCTGTGCAGGCCATGCAGCTTCAGCTAGGATGGCCAGCATGTTGCCATATTCCCATACGCCAAGATTCCCATACTCCCTCATTCCCACAATCCATTTTTCAGGTTTCGGTTCCCATACATAAAACCCGTTCGGCAAACTTATGCTTTCGAATATTCCAAACTACGAGACATCTGATTCTCTGGCCCCATCCGGCCTGAAGCATGAGGCCTGAGCCCCTTCAATGCCCGCCTGGAGTAACCCCTTCACCCGAAGCCCTAAACCCTAAATCCTCAACCCTGCCCAAAACCTTCGAGGTGCGAGAACTCCTCGCAGTGGCGCTTGGCCTTTAGCCTGGGGCGTGGGACAAGAGAGGGTTTGGGGGCCCTCGTGTCAGCGTGCGAGTGGCCTGTCTCAGCTCAGATTTTCGGTGATTGTCCCAGGATGCAGGTCCTTGTAAATCAAAATGTGCACCTTGTCACGGGATTGGGATTGTGGCTTTTTTGCTACCCCTCTCCAGGATGTACGTGCCCAGAGAAACTTCCGCTTTCAGCATGGACAGTTGCTGTGTTTGTGATGTGGGAACGTGATCTCAACTCCAGGACAGCTCAAGCTGAGTCTAGCTGGCTACGTCTTCGAATGATACTGTAGGGCCGTGGTAGATGCTGCAATCTTAGCCTTGTCATCCCTGTACAATCAGAACGCTCTAGCTTCTAGTCATCATCGTAACATCAACTACCCAGAAGTGCATTGCTGCCCAGCATTTGTGTGGCCAAGGAAGGCTCGTGAGTGGCAGCACGCCTTGGCCGCTCTCGCGATGCACCGCTTGGATCGTGTGGCCATGGATGTCATCAGCGCCTTGATCCCGAACATTGCTACCCTTATTCTCACTAGTGCTTATTGCTGCTACGGGCCAGTTTTCTTTCCTATTCTTTCCTATTCTTTCCTATTATTTCCTATTCTTTCCTATTCTTTCCTAGTTCATGATGTCTGTCAAACATATCATTTACTATTGCGTGTTCTGTACCATCAGCGGCCATTTTTAACTGGTGATGCGCGTATGATTGACGAATATGTGTGCGCTTTATGCATGTTTTTTTGCTGATTTTCATTTTCACTTTTTGAATGTAGTATTCTCTACTGATTTATGTCTACTGATTTATGATTGTTCTTTGTAACTTGTTCTTCTTCTTCTTCTTCTTGTTCCTAGTTGCTTTGTTTGTTTTGCCTGATGAACGACGAGTATCCATGATGTCAAGTATGATTATAATGCAAGGAGGAGGAAAGGCTAGCAGCTGCAGTGGCACCTCCCCCTCCCCCCCCTTTGCTTTCGTGGCGAGAAGGGCGGTCTGTGGGGTGGGCGGGCGGGAGAGGCGTGCCACCATGCAACCAGCGAAAAAGGGGGTCTTTGTGGGGTGGGGGGGGAAGGACTGGGGATCGCAACTGAGAAGCACGAGAACGGTGGGCCGGAGAGGTCAAGCTGGAACACAATTTACCAGCACGTGGTCTTCGTTCGCCATTCTAATTCTATAGCACCAACGCACGGCGAAAACATCTCATAGGGAACGCGGACACCGCACGGCCGAGGCCGAGGCGAATATTATCGAATATTATTGGATAGGTGAAATGTAGAAGTTGATATGAATATTTTTAGTTTTGGCATTGTCTTATTTTTCGTACCAAATATTTGCATTCATCAGAAAACATCATATAATGAGCATTCATATTTGTAATAGTCGTAGTTCATTAGTATGTACTTTGTGATAACCACTTGCTTTTGAAGCTGTTCGAAATGTGCGATTTTCACTACCTTGACCTAACAGCCACCGTTTTGTTTTGTTTTGTTGTTTATGCTCGATTGTTGTGATTAAGTTGTTGACTGTTTTTTGGATGATTTACATATCGATTGAATTATTCATGTGTCATCACAGTGTATCATTAAGCATGATTATGTGCTGTCGTGTAACAATTTGTTAGGCATCTGAATTGTTATTTGGCATTGTGTTTTGTTGTTGTTTATCATGAGTTTTTGCATGCTTACGTATCTTTTCATTGTTTTGGCACTTGTCATTATGTATTGTTTGTTCATGATTATATCTATTCTTTTGTTTTGTATGCATTGCATTTATTCTTTTTTGCTATTTTATCATGAATGTTCGTATAATCTTGCTTCTGTGTGTTTCGTGTATACGGTTTGGGGTTCCGGGTTGTAAAAAAGATATGTATATATATGTATACAGACACATGCAAAGCCAATCAGCAACCCGCACCAGCTGTTCGTCCCAATACCTTGAAGGTTGCGATGCGATGCTGATGGCCTGCAGGGCCGGCTCACACTGGCAGGCCCATAAGGGTTCCCGGGAAGGAAGGGTCTCGGGTTCAGGGTCGCGAGCCTTCGAATTTCCTCACCAACATGTAGGCTCATCCTCGCTGCTTCATGCCACAGGTTCAGGGGCTTGAGGGTTTGGGACAGATAGGGGGCGCGAAGGAGGGGGGGGGAGGGGGAGGGTTGGGGTGGGAGGGGAGCGTGCGCCTGAAGTGTCAGCTGGCTCACACTGATGCGCGTGGCAGGTTGCATTGGTTCTTCTGGGGTCCATGGCTTCGGATTCCATGCAGCCCACGGCGCTGAGCGCCTAAGATGCATGCTGTTGGAGCTTCAGGAGAGTGGCTGCTGTTGTGAGCGGCGTTTTGAGGAAGCTTGGGGCTTTATTTGGCCGCCCTGCTGAGGCTTTGACGCTGCACTTCCTGCCTTCGACGCTGGTGGTGGGACGTGTCTCAATTGAGCTGGGCTGCTCTTGTATGCTCTTTTAAACTTTAGGTCCACCGGCAATCGATTTGGGAGTACCACGCCGTCATCGGGAACCCTCGAACTTTTCGCCCTAAAACCTACAGACAAGACCCTCAACCCTGGATCTGCAGCTGCTGGTCCTGCAACTCTCGGTAAATAGGAGGAGCCTTGTGCGAGGTTTATCCCATCGCTGCTCGCAGCGCTGCCGGCCATTGCCGACCGACTTCGCAGAAAAGCCTGCGGCAGAGTAGTGGCAGAGTAGTGGTAGTGGGTGTGACGTCAGACGTCGTGAGGGGCAAGTGCAGATAGTCTATGTTTTAGGTTTATGGTCGCATTCGATGTCGTCAAGACTTCAAAGCTTCAGTTAGCCACCCATAGTAAACCTTTACCAAAAAGACATGTTCCTTCTATGCTGTCGTGTCCTGAGAGTTTGTACAATGTCGTGGTGTGCGCAGTGCCACTTGAACTGATGCGTGGTTGTAAGCAACGCCGGCTCGCCCGACGAAAGCCTCCGAAGCCGCAAAACCCTCTGAGCCCGACACGGCCGCCACCCGGAGTTCGCAGCAGATGTCCAAAACCACAAGCACCCAGTCTCAAAGCAGGCCCAGTATGCCTTCTTGTTCATAGATCTCTGCTTTCCTGCTGGTTCTGTTGCGCGTCCTCGTGCGCCATTCGTTCTGCTCTAGGCAGGACGCTGTGCGCATTTTTGCTTCCACGTTTGTGAAGGCTAAGCGGCTGAGGTTTGTAGGGTTCAGGGCTGCATGTGCATGATTAGCCGTTAGCCTGGGTCCCCATGGGGCCTGCAAGGGGCCGCTCTTCCACAAGGCGCGGGGTAGGAGAGTACGTAAGTGCGAGTGTTCGGATTATGGGAAGTTTAGGGCTTAGGGGTGTGACTTCCACACGACAACCCAGAGTTCACGTACAGTCACGGCGCCAGAATTCACCATCGCTAAATTGCAAGCCCGGAAGCCTACTAAATACCCTAAAGCCCTAAAGGTCCTCTGACAGTCCTCTCCCCCAAAATCGCAGCAGGGAGGATGCTCTCCGCGCGGCGACACGCAACCTCAGGGACCTGGCCCGCCTCTCTTGGGCAAATGGAAGTTTTTTGGTGTGTAAGGCATCCAGGTTTTAGGGTTTGAGGGGGTCAGGGCGATTGGCATGCTTTTCGCGTTAGGGCCCTTAAAGGTGCCGAGCCCCTAACCCCAAAAAAAGCCCAAACCTGAACCCGCAGCTCTCATCCGAAAGCCATGTTGGGGACGCACTCCCTGAAGCCATCTCGGGGAGTACAGGACACCCCCCTGAACCCTAAACCGTGTTTCGTCCCAGGACAGTCGGCATGGCAGCGGGCATTGGGCTACCTCCAAGCCATGCCAGACGAGCCATTGGGCTCCACAGCAGTCATAGCTTTCAAGATATAGAAGGCTTGTACGAGGCTTGATAGGGTTTGCTCGAGGGCAATTCTGTGGTCGCGCAAGGGTTGTTATCAGCTTCCGAGTTTCTTTGTGTCCGATTCCAAAGCGCAGGAACTTGCGGCCCAACGTGTCGCCCAGCAGCAGTTTATGAAGTTTCGCATTGAGGCCACCATTGATGTGGCATCTACGTAGGGAACCAGCTGCCCAGGCCTCAACCCTCGTCTCTAAACCCGAATTCCACAGTGCATGCGCCACCAGCCCTGTCGCCCCCTACCAGCCAAACTAAGCGAAGCCTCTTCCGATCTTGCAAAAAGCCTGCACGAATGGGAAGATCAGCAGTGCCCTCACCCCGAAACCCTAAACCTCAGGTTTTCCTTCGGCGCCGCCCTCAGTGCTTGCGAGCGGGGCTCCCAGTGGCTTTCGGCGCTGCTGTTGCTGCAGGCCTGGCTCAGACGGAGATGTCACGTCGGAGGCCCAAAACTGTGAACCCGCACCCCGCAGCCCTACCTGAGTTTCGACCGTCTACAGTCAAGCATAGTTTATTCACTTGAAAAGGGCTCATTGGCATTCTTGTGCTATCTTGCTCATGGGTGCTCCAGGACACGTGGTAAACAAGCCAGGCCTGTTTCCAGAGTAAGCAAGCCAGTGCTGTTTCCAGACAATCCAGGTGGATGTAGTTCTGCGTGGCGCTATCAATAACCTGGCAGGCCTAAACCTTAAACCCGAGCCCCTTTTGTGGTAATGCTAGCAGACGTCGCGTTTGGGGAGGACATGGATCACCGAAGTGTACAGCGTGATGTCATCAGCTCCGTGGTGTTGTACTACACGAGCCTACATACTTATCAACATTTTCCCCTAAATGGTTCAGGGTTTAGGGCTTAGGGCAAACAACTGCCACCGTCATGCCCGAACAATGAAGGACTTAGAATACGTAGAACTATATAGGCCCCTACGTTAATCCATCAGCTGGCTTCTTGTTCCTTTCACTGGTGCCAAAGGCAAGGGGTCTGGGCCCCAAAGCCCAAACCCAACGCTCTATAGGCTTGGAACCTAGAACTAAAAATCAGTCCTAAACCCCAAATCCTAAACTCTACAGTTCCCCCTGAAAGTCGATCCAGTTCAATCATGTGTTGGCGTTCGGGGTAAGGTTGTTTCTTGCTGTGAACATGCGAATCGGGGATCACTCTTTTGCTTGGGTCTGACATCACGGCTGTTTCTTTCTGCCTGTAGTGAATACGGCTGCAAGTTCATCGCCTGTTGCAGAGAACTCTTACGCGAACTCAGCGCCTTAAACTCTCCCTCAACTTGCATCGCGCTGCCAAGGTTGCAGCGCAGCTATCAGTGCCTGCGAGAAGTCAGCAGCCGCTCAGATCAGGGATGATGGCTTTAGCACAACTTGGGACGGGAGCTTGAAGTTCAAACAGTTGTTTGCTTTGAGATCTCCTTTCGGAGTTCACCCTTAGATCGTCAGGTCGCCAGGCATTCCGGCTGGACCCCTCAGCCCATTCCACCCCCCAGGCATGGCAGTCGGCGCTGGTGCTGGTGCAGACTATGACCAGCTCAGAGGCTTCCAGATAGTGTTTGTGGGTATGGGGTGTGGGGATTTAGGGTTTAGGGTTTAGCATGCTGCCTTCAGCCCTCATGGTGCCCTTCATGTCGAGCTGCTGACTTCCCAACGAACCAGATCCGCTGCGACGTTGTTTGCCTGGGTGCCGCCGTGGCTGCGCTGGCGGCCGGCTCCGAGCCGCACAGCTCAGGGCTTGGGTTTGGCATGGTTTCAGCCTTCAGGGTGCAGGAGTGCATGGTTCAGGGGAGCTTGGGTGCGAGATTTCCCGTGGCTCTAGAATCTATAAGCCCGAAGCGATGGGACCCACACCCCAAAACCCCTTAAAAAGCCCTAAACCCTGAAAACCCTAAGCCCTGAAGCGTGCGAGGTGGAGCCGTGCCCTGCACATGGCAAGGCAGATGGAGGCCCCAGAGGGCCCATCGCGTGATTCTTTCACTCATGTAAGGATTTGAGGCTTTCGGGTCTTGGGGTTTTAGGGGCTTTGGGGCGTTGGGGTTATCGGGGTTTTGGGGTTTGGGGGTTTTGGAGTTTTAGGGTCCTGAAGGATTTTGCGGGGGCAGGGCTTCGTCTTTTTGAAGACTTAAAGCTTGAAAGAATCAAGGTTGTAGTAGTACTCCTAAGGTTTTCTGTTGCGGAGGGCTGAGGGCTGAAGGGCTACAGGCAACCCTAAACCCTAACGCAGCTAACGTTGACAGGAAGCCTCTGTTCCACCCAACGTCGTGGCATATGGTTCGGCGCTGAAGGCGAGGCTCTCTGCTTTTCCCCTATAGTTGTAGAACCTACGCACCACTCCACCAAAACTAAAAATTGCATAAAGAGCGGTGTGTGTGTATATATATACACGTGTATGTATGTATACATATATATATATATATATGTATAGCCCCCTGATTGTTTTGGTACTTTTTTCGGTTTGTCTTTTTTTGTCTAGGGTTTCCGATTAACACACAGACGAACAGAGGTTCTCCCATTAAGACTCAGAGGAGGAAATCGGGGTTTCCAAATTGGGAAGCAACAGAGGAAGGACCTCCACTTACCTGCTTCCCAGCAGATATCAACAATTTCGAAAACTCGACAAGAGTCTTCCCCATAGCGGGATGACCAAACATCTGGCAGCATTGGCTTGCGCAGGAAAGGAGTGTGCATGTAGCTCGTCTTTCAAAGCTTCCGAAATCTGCCCTCCCGCGAAACAGGACCTAGTTAGTTATGGACCCCAACCTTGCGGCAAATGGGGGATGAAGGCATGCATAGAGACGACAGAAAGACAAACACAAACAACGACGAAGTAGAGAAGGAAAGGGTGGACGAAGTAAAGAACGAAACAATCAAGTCTTAACACACACTTGAACGGCTGGTGATGTACGGGCCAGAATCCTCTGATTGTTAACAAAGCAAATGAATTCCTCGCCGAAATGCCGACAGCAACAGGCCCCTGTATCAGGCGAGATCAGCTAGCGTTTTGAGTCGAGAGCTCAGCGATCATCATCGTCAACATCATCATCATCATCATCATCGTCATCATCAGCTTCATCATCATCAGCATCATCATCATCATCATCATCATCAGGATCTGAAGCTTCGAACCCGAAGCCTTCTTCACGGAATGGTTTCTTTGGGCTTCGCCCAAAGTGGACAGGCCTGTGAGCTCTCGCGGGGCTGGAAGCAGGCCTGGAGCATCCAAAGCGATTCAGCTGTTTGATTCGTCAATGTCGGCTCTTCTTCTCTGACTCCTGTACTTGCATCTGGGTATAGAGGTAATTGAGTTTGTTCACCTTTCAGCACGGAATGTGAGCTGGCTTTAGAACGTCGGCGAGACCAGCTAGTGTTCTCCTACTTTACGAATATAGCGCTAACAATACGGTGAAAGGATTATAGGAAAGTATGTATCAATACGGTGAAAGGATTGTAGACAAGTATGTATCATCTGCACTAAAGACTCGGGTTATGCCTTAGGGTTAGGGGGGTTTTGGGGGTTAGCTTTGCGGGTTGGGGTTTAGGATGGGCACTCAAAAAGTTCGCCAGTTTCCGCCACATTTCAAGGGTAAAAGGTGTCTAGGTGTTCCAGTTTTGTGTTTGAGAGGATCTTCTTTAAAGTTCGTGTTTTTCAGAGAGGGGTCCAGAGGCCAGCATTAGCCCTGCCTTATTTCCAGCTTTTGGCAAGAAGGGTGCGCCCTTTGCAGTTGACAGCAGTCGCCCTCAGCCCGTAAACATTCTCGGACATTAAATGAAGCCGTTAATTCTGGAGAGGCCCTGGCGCTTCTGAGGGAGATGGAAGATCGGCAGGTGCCCCCAAACGCGCGCCTCCTCCAACCCTGGCATCACTTTCATGTCTTTTGCTTACTGAAACTGGGGCTGGGGTTGCGTGAAGCCCCGGCACATCAAGTGAGAGCTCCGAAACTCCTTTCAGACCCCATCGACTAAAGCTACCAGCGCAACGAAAAACAACCCTGAAACCGCAACCAATTCAGACGTCAACAGCCGATGCATGAGCTCTTGCTCTTCGTCCCAAAGCTTAGTTAAACCCCCAACCCTATAAACCCCAAAAGGCCTATCGGAATGGACACACCTAGGATCTGCTTCAACTCGACCATCAGTGCGTGCGAGAAGTCGGCGCGCTGGGAGTGGGCTTTGGAGGCGGCCACTTAGAGTTCCACCTTTTCCAAACTTCAGAGTTTAGACATGATTAGACGGCTAGGTTTTGGGGCTTTGTAGGCCTTAGAGGTTTTTAGGGTACACAGTTTAGGACGGGCGTCTCAAGACTGTCCGGGTTCAGGGTTCAGGCCTTTTGGGTTCGTAGGGAATAAGGCTTTTCGGTTTTCTTTTGAGGTTGTACAAGATTTTGGGGTACCACTACACCATTAAGCGCTAGCGAAGTGAAGATTCTCCCTGTAGTCGGAGTGAAGCCAGATGGCATCTGTGCTTCAGAAGCAAGTTTTGTGCGTATGTGAAATCACGAACACCATGTCACCGTCATGCCAGGAAACGGCTTCGTTGAATACGAGACGCGTGTAAGTCCGAAAGGCTATGCCCATGATTCTGCAATGTGCCGACAACAGTGATCTCAAGGCCAAACGTATTTCTAACTTGTTGACTGCGTTTGTTCCTACGAGCAGCATGCAGAAGGTTTTTCTTGAAACATCTATGTGTAGTATAGGTTGCAGAAGGGTAGATAGTTGAAACAATCATGACTTAAGTTCGCGGAGCCTTCAGATTTTTGTTTGATCTTTTCAGCAGCTTGGCCATTTTCAAATTCAAGAACTCAGCTTTGAACCCTGAAAACTCTTCGAATTTGTAGGTCACAAGACTGTGCAAACCATTTGCAACTGTTCAGGGTCACTGTTAGATCTTCTCGGAACGTTCTCAGAGCTTCGAGACCGCCTAAATATTGACAAGTTTTCGGAGCTTCATAACGACTATAATGTCAAGTTCAAAGTGTATCGAGTTGATGGCGTTCTTCGAACTTGGGGGGCGGGGGTAGCATATACATACATAGACAGAGGGGAGAGGGGGATGAGTTGAAGGCGATGTCTCTCCTGCCGCAAAACGCCCAACAACCGAATCTAAGCCAAGTGCAAGCGCCAGAATTGAGAAGCCCTAAACTCTCGGCATGCCCCAAGGTCCTCTGGCAGATGCAGGTCAGGCGGCTGCCAGCCGACGCAGGGGTCTGAGCTTGTTATTCGAAGCTGGGGGCTGACGTAGATCATTGGGGCGGGTTTTGTGTTCCTGTTGCAATCTATTGCTGGCTTGGCTCTGCGGGAGTCGGCGGGAGTCGTCACGGCGCTTCATCAGTACGAGCACCTCAGACTCAGGGTTTAGGAAGTTTAGGATATAGCAGTGTAGCATTGCCCGGCAGGTACAGAGTGCGTAGCCCGCACTCCTGCCCTTGTGCAGTTGGATCCCCACATTTTTTTTGCATCCTTGCAAGTCCTGCCAAGACATGGCGAAGGTCATCAGCTACAGCGCCGCTAGCAGCGCCTGCGAGAAATGCGCACAGTGGCAGTGGTCCCTGCACTTGCTGGATGACATGCTCACTGGACGGAATGTGGTTCAGGGCCTTGCGGAACAGGCTTAGGAATAGCAAAGCTGGAAATATCTGTCTGAGAATGGTCTTTGTGTTGGAACTGCTTCATGGAGGTCTGCTGCATGGCATAAGCGGTTTCCATGCGGAGGTTTGGGTTGCCCCAGATAGTCTCAGTGTGCACGTTGTGAAATCCACTCTCCTCCGACCTCCCTGGCATGCGCGTGCTGAACGATGGAAATATACAACACGCAAGAATTCATAACCTGTCTGCGTCCCTGCGAGCTTCTGGGCCCTTAATCCGAAACACCAAAGCCCAGGCTGCACTTGCGCATCGAGCCTGACAGCTACACCTACGCCTCTTCCATTTCTGCCACCAGCTTATCCGGAGCTTGAATGGTATTGTAAGCCTTGCGTGAATACTCGTGCAAACTGGCGAGCCTTCAGCTTGCAGCTGGACCTGCTCCTGCTTGGAGATCACTTGTCATCACATCGCGCCTTTGGCTCCGAGCCATGTGGGGACAGGCTTCAAGAGATTGACACGTTGACATGGTCCACGATTTCGAGACTGCTTCACGGTTCCTATCAGTCCTTGGCATAAGTATGACACGCATGCCCATCGCTGCATGTATTTGCTTAACCCTCGTAGCAATCAAGTGTATCAAGATTTACACACGGCCGAGCATGGGCAAGCGAGCGCTCTGCATCGGGGTGAACTATCCCAACCAGGCTGTTCGCTTTCAATCTAATTCCCCTTGCATGTCAGTTGTTAGTTCCAGGTTCCACAAGAGGATGACATGCTACAATGCAAAAAATGCTGCATGTCGACACCACCATCAAGTACATGTCGCATCACGTATCTGATGTATCCTCACGAAAGCTTGATCTTAAAGAGAAGGATGTCCAACCATGTGCTCTAGCACAACTCATGCTTCGACATCTGGAAATGCCAAGCGTCACTCATAGACACGATTAATAGGCCCGCTGCAGGGTACTGTGAAATACGAGTAGGCATGCCAATGGTAGTACCAAGTCCGATTTCTGCTGGCTGCGGAGGAAACGAGTGAGTGCAAGAGAGCGGCACACCCCGTTAGCACCATTCTGCGCCACTTTTCCAGGAGTACCAGCTTTACGGCTGTGCCGTCCGGCGGCAATCGCAGGTGTTGCCAGAACTTAAAAGGTTTTTGGGAGGCATTCTGGCAGCTAGCCCTTTATGTTGGTCACGCATGCCTGAGTTGATGAGGTTCAAAGTTGTTGTTGACTCCTAGGCGTAAGCTGTCAAACTCCTCGACTTGCGCTACCGCCGTATGATTCCACGTGGGCCTTTACTCGCTGCAACCCTCGGCTCCCGAGACCCTGAGCCCTAAACCGAGTGCAAGTATGGCTTAAGCCTGCCCTAAATCAGGTCAATGATTGCCTGGACTGGGAAAGGCTGCTGAAAGAGACCTACGACTTTGAAGAAACCCGAGTGCTGATTGATCAGTACCCGGCACTTCGGCGTCCAACATGTAGGGTTTTAAGGGTTATCAAGTTCTGTCCGGAGCCAGAGCTCCCTTAGGAGCTCTGATGGCCGAAGAGCAGCACATACCCAGGCTCCTCCAGTTGTTTGGACCTTTTTTTTTCATGCATCTCCCTCCTTGGGCTCATAAGGATCTTATTCAGGAGCATGTTTCAGAGGAGGTAAGCAGGGCTTCGGAGCCCACTGGCGAAGACGGTAGTGTATACAAGTCTGCAGATATGATACCAATACGAAGTCGATATATCGCACCTGTACAAAGATGGTAGAGCTAGCGATAGCTGCAGAGCTGAGCTGCCTGAATAGCGCAAGGTGCACGTGGATACTGGGTTTCACGTGCCACATGCACGTGCCACAGAACTGCGTTCTGCAAGGATGGCTCTCCCACAGAGTCTGGGGCACAGCTGCCCACTCGGGCAAACATCCTGGCGCAGCTCGGTGGTTGGCTCGTGGCTGGAGCAGCTCACCTGCAAAGGTAGAACCGACTAAACTTAAGACTTGCAAGCCTCGCCCTTGGGTTTCCTTAAAGTCCAGGCCACAGAATCTTCTCATTGAGGCAGAGAGCAGGAATAGACACACTTCTTCTTTTGCAATGCCTGCCTTATCATTAATCCCAGCTCCGAATACAACCTTGAACCGATATTCTTCAATGCTGAAATGGGCCCAAATATAGGATTGTTTTGCAAGGGTTGAAAGGGCTCACAGAGCAATGACACTTGTTTTTCATGATTTAAGCCGTTCAACCCCAACCAGAGGTCTACTGAACCCCGAAACCTAAAGCCTAAGCCCCAGGCACAGCCGGGAGACGTGCTCGTCTTCGTCTTCGCCGGCCACGGCTGCCAGGCGAAATGGGGAAGGTAAGTTAAAACCCCAACGGAAACTCTTTCATGGCCTTCTTTACGACAACAGAGTCCATTCTCACATCAGGGCAGGCTGCAACAATCCCAGAGCCTCTCAGCACTTGCACCTCCAACTCCACATGATTGAGTGTCCTGCACCCGACATGAGGGAGGCCACTTTCTTCCAATGCCGGCAGAGTGCCTGGCCCTATAGAGGCCGAGGCGAGCTTCCGCAGAAGCATGAGCCTGAATTCGAATACTTGATGTAGATGCAGAAGGCTGGCTGAGAACGCCGCCAAAAGGCCTTGCACACCAACTGCACCCTAAGCCTCCAATGGAATGTAGTTGGGGTACGTGGGAGCACGATGAACCCTAAACCCCAAGGCCTATATCCTGAACAGGCCCTGTAGAGGCGAGGCGTCTTGGGGTTTAGGGTTCATCGGGTTTAGGTTCATTTTGTGGATGTTGAGGGCTTTTTGGTGTCAGGTGCGGACGAACCAGCCTGAGCTGGAGGCCAGGCTAGGGATCACAGCACGAGATATGCGTGTTTTTCCCATTAGCCTTTCGTGAGGCCCCAAAATACTACAGTGCTTCTTGTAGAGGAAATCCCACCATATCAGGGATGGCACCAAGCCACTTCAGGTACGTACGAGATTGTTCCACCACGCGTTCTTGAAGCCCTTTTACCCTCTCTAAGCATGATAGACTCAAGGTAGATGAGTGGATCGACACACCCATGAGGTTCGTCTTCGCTACTGCTAGCTCACAGCGCTAGCCAGCCTGTACTCGCTTGCACAAGCTCGGGAATCCGTACCAACGAGGCCCAAAAAAGCGTACATGTAAATCCTTCTTCCCACACCGCTCAGGAGGCCTTGGTACCTGTGGACTACCGCGACAGCTCGTCTCTGATTCTCAGGGTGCGCAGGGCTCAGGGCTCCAACGGGTTTATTCTTTGGCCCTAAGCCCTTCTGTTTGGAGTTCTTCCTGTAATATTTTATACTTAATCTGCGACCCTTCTATGCGAAGTCCCCAACACGCACGACCAAGATTGGCAGACCTGCCCACTGGAGTTAAACATGATGGGCTTCCTCTAAGGAATTCGTTCAAAAGGGTTGGCGCGTGTGCTTAAAAAATGCTAGCAGCTAGCCAGCTGGACTCTAAAGGTGCTAAGGTTGAAAACGAGCAGGTGGACAGCTACAGTGAAACCACGAGCCCGAAAAGCGGTCTTTTGCGCCAGTTGCCACCGCGCTAATTAAGCAGAGTTTTCAGAAAGTGGTCACCCACAATAGGGAACCCTAAGCTTCTTAGCTATACGACGGTTGCTATGCAGTGGTTTCACTGTACTCGAATGTCGCCGGAATCCCTGTGCATTCGGCCAGGATGAAATCCACGCGCTACTGGCCCGCCTTCCATCCGGATGCTACGTGACAATGATCTTAGCACCTGGGCCTGTGTTTAGGATAGAGTTTCGGCTTTGGGGTTTACTTTGAGTGCCTACACTATCTAAATGCAATTCCGAGAATGCAGGTACTCCCAGGTGCCGTAGTCATTGTTATGACATCTACGGCACGGGCATAGCACACTGCAACATAAGTCACAGAACACGCCACCAAAGCAGCACAACATAGCATGAAGCAAATTACACAACATGACACGGCACAACCTTGACACGGCGTAGCACATTCTAGTGTACGCAGTAACATACACAACAGCAAAACATAACAGACGTAATGTAACAAAGAAAACTATTAGCGCTAAAACCTAAACCTCAAACCCCAAACCCTCCAGGCCCTAAAGCCCTCGTAAAGCACAAGAGGTGTTGCAACACACCTTTCCATTCCCACCAGGCTTCAGTGAAGATCCTGTCGAGGATAATTGTTGTCTTTCTGGGAACCCCCTGTGAGTGATGTGATTGTCGGATGCGATGCTTCATGACTACAGGATTGCTGCCACGGAGCTCACATGCTGGATGTGCCTTGTTCCGTCGACAGCTCCGCAGCACCCTTCGCAGTGCACCAGAGGCTAGGCTTACAAGGAGAAGGGTGTGGTTTCGATTTCGGTCTGACACTTTGCTGAGTCGACCTGTGCATATGTAAACTGTATATATGTATACAGAGAGAGAGAGAGAGAGAGAGAGAGAGAGAGAGAGAGAGAGAGAGAGAGACAACACCGTCGATCTTCGCATGCAGAGCATGCGCTGTAGGCGAGAGCAAGTTAGACAGATGTTTTATTGAAAATGGTATTGGTCTGTCCGGAGCTATGTTTCTGGACCGGAAATCAGGCAGCCACAAGTCAATAGGGGCCGGAGTCAAAACATCCCCATATACCGCTCGATTTATCGCAGACTTGGAGATCCGAGGACAACGGACCACCCTCAGGACCTGATCTTGCACCAAGCGGCGGTTGTCACTGTCTCATGCTCACTGCATGTGACACATTTAGAGTAAAGTCTGATGGAACCGAACCATCTAGCAAATACATGTAGAGTCAATGTAGAGTAGGTCTTTTTGCTTTGCGCGTGCCATGCAGCCGGTGCAGATCGCGCACACACACACACACAGACGCACAGACACGCAGACACACAGACAGACGGACGGACGGACGGACGGACGGACAGACAGACGCACACACAGACACAGACACAGCCACAGACACAGATGTACATGTATTTGTCGGTGTCTTTGTGGGGCCTACATTCTCGTGTCAATGCCTGCGCAAACGCATCTCCTCTGCCAAAAACCTTAACCATCAAAATTAAAATACATAGTACTATTCTTAGTACTCCTACTCTGGTTATGAGGGTATTTATGAATGCGTTTGGCTCTCATTGTGAGTCTGCCTCAAGCTCTGCCACGGGTGCTACGATATAAAGATGTGCAACAAGAAGAATATGACAGTAATGTGCAAAATTCCAAGAAAAGTATATAAAAAATCAAAAATAAAGCTGTCCACCCCCCTCTCCTCATCAGCCTTGCCCAGCAGGAAGTAGCGGGCCGTACCCATGAGGCCTCTGGTGGACAAAAGTTTTCAGGAGTTACATGGGCAAAATAGGTTTAGGGTTTGGGGTTACATGGGTCTTGGATTTAATCAAAGACTCTGAGTTTGGGCAAGAGTAAGGGCGCTTGCCGCTGTCCATGGTGGGAAAGGTTGCTGCCCTGTACACCGGATGGTGCGTTTGATGCAAGCATGTCCGAGGCCAGTCGCAACTCCGGGCTTCGGGGTTTAGATGTACTGCATCCAAACCCTGAAGCCCGAAGTTGCGACACGCTCGAACGACGCAGGCGTGGATGCAAGCCTACGTGGACCATGCGAGGTCGCGACCGCGCTTCATCCCCACAGCCCCTCGTCCACATTTAGCCCGATGTGAAGTGTTGTGGTAGTTTCGAGCAGGGTCACGGATCGAAAAACGTAGCTTTCTTTTCCAGGTTTTTTGTTGCTCTTTCAGGGTCCAAGCTAGAACAACGCTTGTCTGGGGAGCATGTCAAAGCTTCTTGTGACGCATTTTCAGACAGCGGAGCAGAGTTTCTGGGTTAGGTTTGGGGGCGAGTAAGGTTTAGGGATTTAGGTTTGGGGTTGAAGGTTTTTTGGTTTGGGGGATTGTGGGGTGAGGGGGTGGGGGGGGGCATCATCACGCCGGTTCATATGGCGACAATGCCCCAAGACACTGGCTTGTCCCTTTCGTTCACGCTCACGCCTTTTGTGACCATGCCCACAGCACTGGTACGTACAACATTATCTGTCTACTGCCACGAGAATGCTGAACGTTTCAGAGATCATTTCGCATGCACCCCCGCACGAGGTCCTACAAGGTACAACCAAACTTAGCCCCTTTCCCAGGTGACTGCGGCACCCAGGCCCAGGAGAACTCCGGAAGGCGAGCACGGAAGTCCCTTGCAGGGTTTTCGGGTTTTTTTGGGTTTCGGGTGTAGGGTTAAGGAAAGTTTGGAAGTTTGGCTTACTCCGGACTCCGAAAGGCGTCAAACATCGGGTCCGACGCCCTAAGGCCAACTGTTTGCTGCTCTCAGCAGGTTTCGCACGACCTTGCAGACCTTGCACCACTTTTATTTTGCACCTTGGGCCTTAGGGCTTCGCACCTTAGAAATTCTGCGCCGAAATACGCAAGCAGCAACTTTCAGGGGACGGACATCTTTGGTCTTCGCGTTTCCCCGTTGGCATGTGCCGTAAGCCCGCGTTAATCAACCACAAGACTCCACTTCTCTGGTCGACCGGAATAGGGCGTTATAGCGGTACATTATGCCTTCAGGGGTAGCGATTGTAATGTCTACCTCCAGACATAGCAGAAGAGTTATCTAGGCTCCTGCATTTGCGCGCGGTGAAATGATTCCTTGTCGACTGCTCAAATGAAAAGGCGCTGGGGCCCATGTTGGGCGGATGACGCTGAACCCTGGGGCATCTTGGCCAGAAGGATGATCCCTTCTTGAACCCCAAGTACGAAGCCCTCAAACTTAGAACGTCCCATTCGCGTTGATCAGATGTGGGTTCCATGATGCAAGTCTGCTGGCGAGATGCAGTTGTGAAGAGGGCGAGTTAGGGGAGGATGGCTGAAGAGGGGCGTTCCACGCCTTTGTCAGACAAGCTCGTGTATGGCCCAGAACTTGAAGTTGGGTTCTTGCAAATGAAATCAACCCAAATCCCACTCTCGAACCCTGCCCGAGACCACACTTTCTGGGCCGTGAGGTTACAGCCTTCTGCCTTGCCGCAGCACGGCCCTTCGAATCGGCAAGAGATGCCAACATCAAGGAGCACTAGGGTTAAGTTGGTATCAAATTTTTTGTTACACAAAGGAAAGAAAGAGTATTGAACACCTCATATAAGGTACGCAACTGGTTTTAGAGTTCTGGGGTGATTGGCTTTAGGTTAAGGTGGGGTTCCGCAAGCCTTCATGAACCCGAATTAAACTCCTGAACCGCCCTCCCCCCCCCAGCCATCAAAACTCAACACTCCACAACTTCTGTTTAGGGTTGATGGTTTCCAGGTAGTTGGGTTGCTGAGGTCGGGAGCACTGAGGATTGTAGTTGAGATTTTGGGACTCAGACTTCCACCGATGACCACGAAGCCCAGTGAACGGCCCTGGCAGTCCTATCAGTGCGGCGTGCTGACGTTCTGCTTGCACCAGGCATGGGCACATATCGGATGATGAGAGCATTGAGCGGTTCACTATTTTCAAAGGTTGGAGTGATTAAGATCGAGGGTACTTGCGAAGAGTGCCATGGATCCCCCCTCCGGCGCCCACCCCAACCCGTAGAATGTTGGTCGGGAGTTTGGCTTTCATGCAGCAGGTAGTGAGGCTTTAGGTTGTAGGGCAAGGCGGTGCAACATTGCGGGTCCCATGCGGCCTATAGGGTGTTCAAGGCAGAGATGCGCTTGTTTGCCAATCTTTGTTCTGCAACTTCAACCCTAGACCCCAAAGCCGCCCAAGAATCCTACACCTCTTGTGTTCAGGTCTGGTACCCAGAGTAGGCCCTTAATTTCATCGTTTTGAGGGTCTAGAAAGCCTTACAAACCTGCCAGGCTTTGCAGGACTTGCAGTACCGCTGTACCTTCGAGCAGCTTCTGGAGATCCTTGGCGACCCAACCATAGCCAAGCTTTCGGGCTGGTTTAGCGATTTAGGAATAAATGGTTTCAGGCAAAGGGTTCAGGATGCGGATGGGCCTGGGACCAAATTTTGATTGCAGTAGGGGTGCCGGTTGCAATCACCAGTGTAGACAGGATCCCTAAACCCCCCTTCTTTCCTAAGTCGTAAACAGCAAAGGCTGGACCTGACGACTTAGGTTTTGCGCCCTCATCATCTGTCATCCGAGACCTTATGTAAGTCTGCATCCCATGGTTGTCTTGGCCAACAGGGTGTAGCTGAAAGCGCATGAAGCTTTGCAAGGAGAGCTGCCTGGAAGATGGAGGACATCAGGAACAAGTACATGCGGATGATGGATGCTTGCCAATGTCCGGGTGATTGCGACTTGTAAGTGATGCTCCCAATATAGACAGATCACAGCGGATTGAATCTGTGACCGACTGGGTCCATCCATTTTTTGGCGGCTGCCGCAGAAGGAAGTCATTGCCTAGAAGTTCAGATTCTTGGACCGGTTTTGGAGTAGCAGTGTGTTGATTATTTGACCCATGGTCAAGCTCTGGGCCCCAGGATCAGACCATCCAGATGAGCTTCTGCCCAAACAGTGCCCCGTCCGCTGTCGTCGTCTTCGACGAGCGCACCTCGACTTCAGCTAATCACATTAGATGGCCTGCAGTGACTTCAGTGACTTCAGTGCAGTAGTCCCTCCCTCTTCTCCGCACCGCCCCTCACTGCTCCGATTGGTCAATAAAAAGAGGCGAGACTAGTACTGATACAGCATGCCAGGGTCAGAACATCGGCATTGCATCACGTCCCCACACTGGACATTCAGCTTTCTAAGGGTACGCTCCTGTGGCGCAGCACCGGATCTCGCAGCTGGCGCAACAGCGAAACATGTCGCCGCCAGCCGGGTGGCTTAGAGTGTGTAACGCAATGTAGTGTATTGCAATGCAATGCAGTGCAGGGCAGTGCAATGCAATGCAATTCATTTCAATACAACTTGCAGTGCAATGGAGTGAGATGTAATGTCACGTATAGTGTGTGTGTGTGTGTGTGTGTGTTTTCGCATGTGTGTGTGTGTGTGTGTGTGTGTAATGTAGCGTCATGTAGTCTCATGCGGTGGAATGTAGCGTGCACTGCACAGCACTGTACAGTACTGCACTGCATTGCGCTGCTCTGCACTGCACCGCACCGCACCGCAAGCCACACAACAGAACACAATGCGTGCAACGGAACGAAGCACAACGAAAACCAATGCGACGCAGTATGTATGATGTGATTACCCTGCCATCAGATGTGGGCAACAGCCGGTCAATGCACGCCCAGCAGCTCGAGCAGCGAAGCAAGTGCATGAGAACCGCAATCATCAACCCGGACCAACGCTTGCTTTCAGTGAGTGGCTGAGGCCAACATACAGAGTGCGTACCGGTACCACGCCGACATTCAACATGTTGTATTGCACAGCGCAGCGCATCCTTTCCATCGAGCTCTCCCTTGCCTTCCTTGGTCCATTCCTGCGCAGAACGGGTAGGCAGCGGTAGGCACGACACATGATGCGGTCAAGGACTACCCTAGCTCTTGTGAAACCCAGAGCCGAAGGCCCCAACCATGGTGAAGAAATTACATGGCATAATGCCATCCCAAATGTCGTGTCATCAGTGGTGAATCCCTAATGTACTCCGAATGACTTAGGAGAACCTGCGCAGTCCAGGGGGGCCGTCGCCACACCCCGTGTCTCGGAGAAAGGTTGATTGTGGTTGTTCTGGAGGATGTTCTTGTTTAGGGTTGAGGGGTCCGGATTTGGGAGGGCGAAGGCTGTCTGAAAGCTGCGCTCCTGCCCTTCCCGACCTTCCCCGCTCCTGATTGCAGGTGCGCGAAGCCAGCACCGAGTTTGTGCCCTCGCCATCTCCGGCGTGTCTTGGTGTCAAAGTTGGGGGTTTCCCAAAATCGGGTTGTACCCTTTTCGGGGGTTCCTGGAGTAAGGGTGATAGTATTTCGGGAATGCATTTAAGGGTTTCAAACCATGGCCTTCGGGATACAGGGACAGTCAGGAGTCGGCACACGCCTCGTGCAAGCAAGTCTCACTCATTGATGCTGTCTTGTCTCAGTCATTTATTAAGAATTACTGTAAAACAACCCAAGAAAGTAACAAAAAGAGGAGTTCATGGTTCTAAGGGGCGTTATAGGATATGTCGTACGATCCGGAGGAAGCAGCGCATACCCTCAGCCCCGTTCCCTCTACACACTTGGTCCGAACTCCCTTGGCTTCCCCAAACAAGCGGGGACCCAGGTATCATGGATTTTCGGATACCAATGCAGCGGGTGAAGTGGTGGGTGTGGGCATCGTGCATCTTGGTCTGGGAACAGTTTTGAGCCGACTTGGGTAGGAGGTTAGGTAACGTTCAGAACTTAGGGACTTAGGGTTTACAGGGTTTGAGACTGCAGTGTCTTCAGTTTGCGTTTGGTCGTGTGTTGGTTAGGTTGCACGACGACTTGTCTTTCAGGGGCGTTTTGGAAGACTTTTTTGCCATCCGAACTGGAGTTGGCAGTCTTCAAGATGACAATCCTGAACCTATAATACCTCTACCCTTGTCCGCCGCAAACTGCATCCCGGAGCCTTCGCAGCGTCTACCCGACTTGGGCCCTCTGCATACTATATCGAGGGGGGATGAGGGGGGCTATCAGAGTGCAAGGGTTTTGCGCTTAGGGTTTCGGATTCAGGGGTATGCATGCCGTCGCAGGTCATATTTGCATGTTGCTGTGGTCTTGGTGTACCCGACAACCTTTTGTCCGTCCCATTGGCTGCAGAGTATCTTACTTAGCCAACATGGCTCTTCGTGCGAGGTATGTGCAGCTGTTCTCCTGCAGCAACTTGCAGCTTTGGCTCGGAATGTCAAGGGGAACCCTCTCGGAACCCTGAACCTTGAAACTCGAACATTGAAGCCCAACACCTGTGCATGTTGGCATTCTGGATCTAGCCCTAAACCTACCAGGAACCTGCAGGTTAGAGGGCTTAGGGAGGAGTAGGAGGCTTGGGGAGCTCAGGTTCAGGGGAGGGCCTTTTGGGCCTTCAGGCGGTTCAGGGGCCGCTGTTAGCCTGTTAGGCTTGCGGAGTAAACGGCGGACTTCCAAGAGCTTGGCCGTTCGCATCATTCGTCTCGCCGGCTCTCGGCTCTTGGGCACATGACATAAATCCCTGCAGCCACAACCCCCCAAGGAGACCCATGGGCATGTACGGCCAGTGCGACCCCTACGTCAAGATGACGTGCGGCGGCGTGACTCATCAGTCACCGGTGAAGCGAAACAGTGACTTGGCAAAAGCCTGAGGCGCACAAATTTGTTGGCAGAACCATGCACAGAAGAGAGAATGAGGCCTACAGTCTGTGGTGATACGGAAGAGGTTGGAAATTCGGTAGTTGTGCCTTCTGTTCACTCCGCTAGTTGACTTGACTCGCTCTGAGGTACAAACCCCACATGGGGGGAGGACGAAAACAAGTTTACCTTCAAGGCGTCAGAGCCTTGTCTATGTGTTTGAAGCCAGTCGAAGACTATTTTTAATTTCTGTGTTGGACCCGGACTCGCAAGAGAGAGCTCTAAGACCAACAAGTTCCACAACCCCCACCCTCCCACCCCCCCCCCCCCAGAAAAGAATGGGCTTTTCAGAATTTAAGACAGAAACTCTCTCACTAAAGATCCCTTTACAACGCCCAGGACTGTCAATCGGAGATGCTCTTCATTGAGGTGACCACAGAGGTTTAGGGACGACCAACAACAACGTCAATATCTGTTGCTGTACCTACAGCAAGCCCAACCCAAACATGGCGCAAGCATGCCTAGGCGATGATGGGGATGTCCAGGGTGCAGTGTTTATAGCAGACCACGAGGTTGTGACAGAGATAGGGCGGGTCTAGAGTCTTGAAGATGTGTGCACTGGCCAAAAGGTACGGAATGCGGGACGGGATGAGCTGATTGGGCGTGTCGATGCCACGTGTCTGCAGCTGATGTCAGCTGATGATATGCATCAGGTTTCTAAGCCCTTCGAATCTCCAATGCAGCAGTAGTCTCAGCGAAGCTTGCAGCTCTACGTGGTTGTGAACAGTGGCTTCACATTTCTCGTACTGCTAGGCATCTTCCTGTGTCCAGGAGCCTACATGTTGCGTACAGGTCCACGTATGCATTCGCCTCGCATATCTAATGTAGGCGGGCGCACGGTTCATGATTTGACAGCAGCATGAGACATACGGAGAGGACCAAAGTGTTGAACCCTCACTGGGGCCTAAGAAGTGAAACGTGTCCTGAAAAAACTAAGCCACAAACCGAAGGTTCCGCTGCGGGGCTTGCCATCGATGTCATGGGAAGAGCGGCGTCAGCTCCTGCAAAACGCGCCCTTCTCAGTGGAGTGGGGATTTAGGGGTTTCAGGGCCAAGGAGTTCATCTTGGCGAGAGGCTTGTGCAGGGTCAGGAGGGATGATCCCAAGCTCTTCCCGCACCGCAAATCGTCGTGTCCTCGACCAAGGGTGGCGAGGTGGAGTTCCGGGTCGCCCTATACCCCGAGAGGGCAGCTGCCAACCTGCGGCCGCAGCCGGGTGTCGGTGTCGGCCTCCCACCGATGGAGCCACTGCTCGGTTTGATATTTGGGGACTTCGAATTTGGGGATGTTTGGGGTGTAGGGTAGGTTGGTTTCATGAGGATGGAGCGACAAGATCTATAGAAGATGGCTTGGAACCCAGTTTGGAACAATTGGGACCCGCCCAGCATGAGCCCCTACATCAGAAGTATTACATTCTCCAGACCCTCGATCATCCCAGAAAAGCCACATCAAACCCAAACCGGAAGCTTTCGTAAACACCGTGCCGAGGATCAGCCTCCTCTTGCCGGTCAGCCTCCTCTTGCCGGTGCTTATGCCCCCGAGAAGCCTCGACCGCCGTCCCCTCCAGCGCGAGACCTGGGGCCTTGCCTGCCCCGCGGCGCTTCCTTGAAGGGTTTAGGAGTTTAGAGCGGTTGAGCCGGCAAGTTTCGCCGTTAGGAATTGAGCAGTAGGTTCAGGACTTGAGGTGATCCATAAGAGAAAGCCACGAGTGTGAGTTTGGAAGTTTGACACTCAGCCCTCAGCCCTACAACTTTCAGAACCGCAGGAAAGCCGGCAGTCACAGAGGTGACCTTCTGAGGTATACAGGTGTCGGAATCAGCTCTTAAGTCCGAACTCTGCAGGGGTGTGATCTTAGTGCTGAAGTAGAACCCCTGGCTGGATCATTGAGGATGGGGGACTACGATTTACGAACCCCTATGGAACGGAATCCCGTGGACGAGGAGCTGCAGAAGTTTCGGCTTGTCGTTTAGGGGTCTAAGGTGAAGGACGAAATGCCGTCCTGGAAATAGTGCGTGGGTGTGTGTGTGGGGTTATGTGGGTTGACGATGGCCTTTCGGGTTTCACCTCCCTGCACCAAACCGGATAAGCGAGGTCATGAATGTTGCACCCTCTTAGGTGTGCCGCCCCCCCCTCCCCCCCGGAACAGTCGAAGCTGGTTTTCGCTTTGTTTAAACGGCCCGGGATTTTATATGATTTTACTAGGGAGGAGTTTATATGAATTCAAAAGACCCGGCAACCGATTTTAAAGGCGCGCTGCACGAGATTGTCTTACGACACCCGGACGATTTGACTTAATTGCGGACAGCACTCTGTACCCCCAATCAGTCACACGGTCCGAATCGACCGGCAAACTTGACTTTGTTCAGGAGACCCCTACTAAAGTGGGTGCAACATTAATCATATACACCATCCCCCCCCGCCCCTAATTCTTCGAACGCTTCTTTCTCCATGCTTTTATGATGAACGCACCAGACATAATGACAGTGTCAGGGCTCCACATGGCCCCAATGCATTGTGCAATCGAAAACGGTCGCCTTCCTGACCGTGTGTCCACAGTGCATTCGCATCCGTATGCGAGACTTTTGACAGCGATTCTACAGCTGCTTTTTTCCTGCGCAAACTTCAACAGAGCTAGTGAACGGGGGCAACCCTGCCCAAAATTCAATCTGCACTACGACGTGGGTTTCGCAGTTCATGCGCCGATGGTTTGATGGGCTGCTCGACTTGGACCATGAACGATTGGGTTGAAAGTATGTATTCGGAGATCCCCTCCCCCCTCCCCCTCCCCTTCCCCCTCCCCTCCCCTGCCCCATCCCTCCCTGCCAACCCCCCCGCACCTCTTCACTCCGAAGGATGTAGACGGGACGCCACTGTACACTCCACCTGTTGAAGCTAGTTTCGAGTCCTGTTTGATGTTCTGAAGCTGAGTTCTTGCGATAGCGTTCAATTTGGAACGATCTTGTCGGAAACTCCGTCGACTTTAATAAAGGTCACATATGTGTCCAAATAGCATCAGACGACAAAAGATGAAGCGGATACGGAAGTTCGCAAAAGCCTAGCCTCACTGTGCAGGAGCCGCTGCTTGACAACATCTTTGGCAAGCCCAACCTTTTCTCGGCCATGCCTGACAGAGGGGTTTTCAGGGCCTGAGGGTGCCCCGGATCTCCGAACCCTTTTGTTGTTCCAGTGCTGCTGTGAGTGCACTGGTACTGCTGCTATGAATGAAGCATGTCTGGCAACTTCTGAGATACGTCAACATCACGCTGATTTAAAAAGGGACGGGGTGTCGTGAACCCTTATTCGCGTTAGTGCCCTAGGCATCCTAAACTCTCCTAAGCCCGGAGGACCTGATGTCGCAGCTGTCGAAAGATGCCAGGGCCTCAGAAGGGTTGAGTGCCGAGGCTGGAGTAGCAGTGCAGCTAGGGCAGCTAGGGCTTGTGAGCATAGTGCTTGCGACAGTCGAACCTTAGGAAATGGCAGTACAGGTGACTTGAGAGGTCATCGTGTTCGGGTTGATTCGATGGTGCAGGGATGTGCAGGGTGCTGTTTCTGACACTAGTACTGCCTGGACCCGGATGTTTGGTTCTATCAAATTTAGAGGGTATGCTGGAGGTTTGTGCTGTAGCTGCCTCAGGCTGCGCCAGCATACCATGACGCCTATCATGACGCCCAGAGTTTACAGCATGCTTTCGCTTGTTTTTTTCAATCAGAAGACCAACAAACCTTGCAGGGACTTGCAGGGCCAAGACTAAAGGACGGTGGGCCAGGGGGCGGCTTCGATTAAAAAGCACTCTGTACACCAATTCTGGTGCAAGTTTGAGGATGCTGGTGACTAAAGCAACAGAGCATCGTCAGTGGGCGACTCCTCCACACCCCTGAAAAATTTCGCAAAGCCCTCTGAGACACACCAACGGACACAGCTCAAGGAAGCACTCCCAGCCATCCCTCAAGTGGGTGGCCTGGGTGGCCTGGGTGGCCTCGGTGGCCTCGGTGGCCTTGCAACACCCTTGGGTGGCCTTAGCACGCCGGTCTCCGGGATGCCTCCCGCGATGCCCTCGCCCGCGGCTGCCGCGGCCGCCGCGCCCGCACCCGCCACGACGAGCAGGCATTCAACTAAGATTGAAGTCTCAAAATCTGCAGCTCACACGAAGCCCCTCAACTGGCAATTCCTAAACCCTAAACCCATCGAAGCCCAAGAACCTCCTAAACCCTGTGAAGCCAAGCCCATGCCCATCCCAAGGGTACTGGTTCTGCAGGCTCGGTGCTGCATCCTACATACCACCCCCGGCTGCTTCCTGCTTCACCCCGCCCTCCCTGCTGCCTACGGGCGAAGTGGGCCGAGCCTCGGGAGATGATTGCGGCCAAGCTTTGGGCTGTTGATTGGGATCTGCTCCAGGGGTGCAAGCATGTCCTCCAAGGCAGCGAGTTAAAAGACATCTGACAGGCAGGGTGGTTTGCATGTTCCTGCGCGGAGACAGCCAGAACCGCTTTTGTAGTGATGATCCTGTGACCATGGGCTGTGCGCATAGCCGTAGCCTGTCAAAGTATGCGAAAAATCTTAAGAGGGTTTTGCTGCAGCATTTTTAGGGGCCTTCTCACTGCCATGATTGTGTGCGCGGAATGCTTCGAAGATTCCCGAGGAACGGCATCTCGGGGCATGTCCCTCGAGGGCTCCTGGGCACGAATCGGGGCAGAAGTTCCTAAACAGGGAGTTGAAAAAACTTCACCTTGCAATGTAGACTTACTGAGTGTGATTAGATGGCTCTTTTCCGTCGTTGCAGTGGGACTGCCAGTTTGTCTACTGCATGAGCCCAGCCGAGCTCACATAAATTCCCCACTTATCTAAACTGCCTGAGCTCCCTAAATTCTAAATCCGAACCGCCAAATCCCAAACCCTGGGCAAACCCCGTAAAGCAGCGACTGCAGGCTACTACTCGGCCGGCGGCGTGGCGGCCCCGACCATGCATACTGCATCTCCTGCGGTGCCAACACCCCAGGCCTGCCAACTGCAGCTCAGGGTTTGACTAGCGGCTCTGAAAATCCCTTGCCCGAAGCTTCCAGGAGTCGCCTTTACATATGATTACCGGCGTCTGAAACATTTCACTGTCCGAAAACAAGCTGGTAGAATCAGCTGGTGCATTTAGGGGCCCGGAAAACTGGATTCTCAGATACCCTAAGCCCGAGACGCCATTCAACAAACATTGGGGTCCCAAAACTCCACAGCCCGAGAATCTCAAGTACGACGATGGATGGCGCGACCCCGATGTCGATCCAAGCTCACAACACGCGTGAACCTCTAAAGATCCTACCCGGAGCCTGCACGAAGTACGAACCGACAGCAGTCATTTGGTTTTGTTGCTCTGGAGATTCCGAAGCCCTATCCCATACCGGCCGCAGGCCCACATGAAGCTGGAATCTTAAAAAGTCGGGCTGTGTGCTCTGCCAGTGCTAGGGATCCCAGTCTCCAACATCAGGAGCAACACCATGCCCAAATCGATGTCTTGGAACCCCACAAGCCTCCATGGTATATGTTCAGGGACATTCAGGATTGAGCTGAACGCCGAATCGCACACCTTAGCCTTATCTGTCCTGGCCCCTGACCGTTCAGTCATGTGTAGCGTGCCCCTTGAGTGTTGCTGGAGCGCTATAGAACATGGAACGGAAGGCAGCGCCCGTTAACACTTCGACATCGATTAGTGTTACAGACGTTCCCCCTGCCCCCAGAGCGCTCGATACCAGGCAGTGCTCTTTTTACTCTGGCTTCAGACATGTTGACTACTTGCATGGTATGGTTTGAGAAGTTCCAGCTTGGAAGACATGAACCAACTCTAGACACACTGAGTAGCACCCCTGCGCCGGAGATCTTCCCATTTGTGCATGTCAAGAATTTCGTCCAGTACCGGGGGCTCGTTGCCAAGGACCTTCTTGTTGATCCGACGAAAAGGCCGACCCCATGAATTGTTCGCATGGAGGTATAGAGGGGCCTTCCCTCACCTTGAAACAAGGTGACTTCACGCTACGCCTACACGCCTTCCACGGCTTCCCCTTTCGCCTACAGCGGCCTGTGAGGATCTGGAGTGTTTTGATGGTTTGGGGCTTTAGGGCCTTTAGGGCTTATGGATGCACGTTCTTGGGTTCTTAGGTTTGGAGCCTTTTAGAGACTGACTGCTGTGCGTGTTTTCTACTTTAACTTGGAGATTCTGTCCAAGGCCAGCCGGCCAAGAGCGCTTTGGGCACCGACCTGAGCGCAGCACCGTACTCCTATGCCTCCTCCGTTGCCGCGCCCTACACGCCCTACACTGGCTTCAGCCAGCATGGGCAGATCGGGGGCTCCTCGGCCTCTTCGAAAGCCCTGCCCTACATGCACGCGATTCTACAACGATTACTTAGAGTGGCTGGAGCAGCGAAACCCCGCGTAAAGGGCAGGCGAGCCAGGGCTAGCTCACTTAGCTCACTTGGCTCACTTGGCTCACTTGGCTCACTCTCTTCCTCTAAGTCTCGCGCTCTTTCATGCCAACGATAGCAGTGTAAGCCGGGCTGGAGGGGAGAGGGCCAGAAGAGGAGAGAGAAAGAGAGGGACAGAGAGAGAGAGAGAGAGAGAAGCAGAAGAGCGAGAGAGAGAGAGCGAGAGAGGGAGGGAGAGAGAGAAGGCAGCAACGCCTCTACGCACGGAGCACAGGGAATGGAACCCGATGCAGAGTAGCATGTTCTGAGGAGGGGAAGGTGAAAGGGGAGGAGGATATTCTGACCGTGTGAGTGCGTCAGTGTCACACCGACTGACTCGCGAAGGGCTGCGGTGGAAGGAAGGACGGAAGGAAGAAAGGAAGGAAGAGCTCAGAGCCCCAAAGAATTGAATTGGAGGGCTTTCCATAGGATTTCGGCATTTTTCAGATGGCAGTCCTTCATGTGTCACAGGGAGATCGTGACATGATTAGTATCGGGCGTGCCAACCTCATGCTCAGGCCAGACACTATCAAACGGCTTGGGGTCCGACTTGGCTGGGGCGTATTCATACACAACCTCTGCAGCTCCAGCACTGACGGGCTATGGCCATGGCCAAGTCATCGGCGACTTGGTACGAAACTCACTGCACAAATCTGCACCCTGAACTCCACATCCAGTGGCGGGCTCCGCATAGTGCCCACACTCAGGGTCTCCATTGCTTTATGTTTCAGTCTTACAATTCTCGCCTCCAAAGGCTCGAGATGACTGTTTGGTTACCTCATGCCCACTCCTCGTGTATCTTTAAGTCTTTAAGTGTTGAAGCCAAAGGCTCTACAGCGCAGAGCGCATTGGGGCCGGACTTCGGCGCGGGCGCATACACCTACACCACTTCGGCCCCGAGTGCCTTGTTCACTGGTTACAGCCAGCCAGGACAAAGCGCAGGCGCGTCTCGCTGTGTGGGCAGAGCAGGGTTTCCCACTGATCATCCATCCCGAGCCATCCCTGACAGCGCATGAAGCGGGGCATCTTCAGACCGGTGAGTTTGGGGCCTACATTCGAGACTCAGGGTCTGGGGTCAGTATTTGTCAGTTGCAAACTGCCACCTGGCCAAATTTTCGGATGGCCAGAAAAGGCACTTCTCATCAACTCTCCGTGCTGTCCTACACAATCTTCTGGAAAAGTTAACGTTGTTGGAGCAGGGGATCAAGTCACCACTCATCAATTACCAGCAAGTTATGGCGCAGATGTGTTGAGGCTCCCGAAAAACTCGAAAAGACCGACAAACCCGAAGAAAAACCTGATTCATCTGCGAGTCCTGCAAGGGCTAAGGCTAAGGGCTGGTGGTCATCTGCCAACTTGTGGGGCTGCAAAGAACAATGTCGCCCCCTCCGCCCCACAACACTCACAGCACTTTGGGGTTTTAGGGCTTAGGGCATGTGATTCTTGCAATACGCGCCTCTCTGAGCTCTCAAACGCAAGCTGCAATATATGTCGGGCCAGAGTCAGCCAAAGCGAATAATGCAGATCCTCCGACCTGTAGAATTGGAAGTACAAGGGTTTCCTTTTTCTATGGGTCATGATTACAGGGTTTAGCCTTCAGGGTTTTGGGATTCGTGCGAGCCTCAAACCCGACTGCTTTGCAAATTCGTGCTTTCCTGGCAGGGCTCTACAGCGGGAGGCTGGCGACGCCCAGTTACCAGCCTCCATACCAGGCCCGCATCTCCTCATGAAGCATTGGACTGCTCATGTGACGCTTCAATGTGGTACCTTTTGAGTTCAGATTGGGTTTCTGGAAGTGCGACTCAGTTTCGTGTGAGATTCTGCACGAGGGACGGTGTGCACAGAGGGCTGTGCGGATCACGCATGCCCAGATATGCGAGGTGCTGAGTTGAGGGGTTCTTCTGAGAGCAAGTGCTGCTTGGGGACCCTGGGATGTTAATTTGGAGCACCTTTTTTGCGATGTTTGGAGCATGAAGCCGCATGAGATGAAGTAGTGTGGGCTTCCCGACGCTGATATGCCTGTGCCTGCAAACCAAGGACAGGATATCTCTTCACAATTTACGTGACTGCCTGTAGTCTGATCGCCCAAAGTGCGAAGGGGCAGACAGCAAGCGTGTATTGCAAGGTTTCGATCAATCGAGGGCAGGGGCGGCACTGGCCGCAGCGCAAGTCAACACCCGTGCTAAACTGCTAAAGGCTCATTTTCAAAACCTGAGAGCTACAATACACCTTTCATGATCCCACATGCCGTAGCCATGCTGCACGTAAGTTCTGCTTTTAGTGTCCGGGTTAGGATTCCACCTTCTTTAACTGGCAATTTCATTTGAGTCACAGACCCCATAGTCAGATCCTGAAGACCAGTACTGGAAAGCATAGGCAAGCCATGCGCCCTCGATTGCTCGGCGCGCATGATGTCATGGCTTTTGAGGTTCAGACAGCTTTCGCTGAGGTATGAGCACCCCGTGAGCCATACAATTTAAATGAGGCACCCTAAGACCCTAAGCAACTGAAAGCATTCTCCGTTTGGCAGATAACGTAAAAGTGCTGCTGCAACAGGCAAACGACAGGCGGGAACGGGAGGCATTATGGCTTCGTGCAGGCCATCTCACTCTAGTAAAGCTTGGGATGTCCAATATGTATAGGCCAACATGGGTCATGAGACTGGGGTATTTGACATCATGGGAGATGCTGTGGCAGATGCTGAGCCCAGTCCATATGCCAGTGGGATAGGAGCACCTGGTGACGCGGAGGATGTGAGGCTGTGTGAGATACCATCACTGTCACTTGTACCTTATGCACTTGAATTACAAAAGCCTCGTTCTGGCGCTTTCAAAGCATAGCTTTCTTCGGCAGCCTCCAAGTTTCCAGATGGAGTCCCCACTGTCCTGATGCTGGGGTGGCGCCTTCTTTGCGGAGCAAAGGCTCAGTGCTGGGCTAGGAATGTTCATCCTTAACAAACCCGTTATGAGTTTAAGCCCTCTGTGTATCTGCAGGTTGACCCTGTTTAGACTGCCAAGCCTCAAGTGTAGTGTGAGGCCTGTTTAGGGCTTAGGGTTTTGGGTGACGCAAGCAGTGTTCGCAGGATCTGGGTTGCCGCCAATAGAGCGATATATACCCGTTATCATCTGCTCACCAACAGCCCTCAATCACCCGACCCTAAACTCCAGTCTGGCAGCCTCGTTCGGCTTTCCGTGTCTGAGGCCTGCCAAAAGGCTTCACAGTGGCTGGCGGCAGCTGGGCCTTCACTAGGGGCCAGGGCTTCGGGTTTAAGATTCAATTGGGACATAGCGGGTTTAAGCCAGGAGGGGTCATTGCTTCGGCGCTCTTTATTTGTTTATGTCTTTTCTGCTTGTCCCTTGGTTTGCTGGATCCGCTGATCCCCTGGTCTGCTGGTCCTCCGGTCTGCTGGTCCAAGACCACGACCACGCGGAGGAAATAATCAGAGGTTGTCCTATTGACACATACAAGAAACTGAGGCTCGGCCATTGCAGATTGTAACTTTTCCTACTACAAGCAATGTAAAGGAAACTACAGGTTCATAAATCCAAGGTATTATCCACCCACCCCCACCCCAAAAGATTGCAAACAAGAACGTACCAAAGAAAACCCACCCATTTTAAGCCGTATAACGAGGGTTCAGGGTTTAGGGTTTGGACAGCCTGCCCAACGCTTCCCGGGCTCATGATGTCCTGGGCAAGGCATGTTCTGAAATAATGCACACCGTGATGCCTTGCGAATGAAGAAGATCCATCACACCAGTCTACACCCTCAACCCCAGCACCTGCAACCTTATGCCGGTATGCTGAGGCTCTGAGCTTACCGCGCCCAGACAACGTGGCAGTGGCTGCCGCCATCTCTGCTTGCGAGAAGGGTCAGAAGAGGCGACCGAGGGGTGATTCAAAGGTTTTGTGGTTTTTGGAGTTTCTTAGACAAAGCATGCAACTGCATGATGGCAGCATCAGCTGCTTGCTTAGCCAAGCTGGGCAGGTCTGCTGAATGTAAGTATGGCGGCTGTGAATCGAAAGAACAGTTCTCAGAGTGGTTGAACAACTATTTAGCCTTGCAATCACCAGCTTGTTGTTCTGCAACAGTTTTTTGACCGTCGACCTGAAACCCTTCTCTGGCATTTGTCTTCGTCGAAGAGTATTCGACATCTGATTGTCAGCCAAATCTTGCGAAGTTCCCGGTTGTTTGTTTTGTGAAGCCTATGTCCCTCAGAGCCCTTCAAAGCCATTCGCTTCGAAGCCTAAGCCCCACATACCCTGAACCTGAACCTTTCAGGCAGGCCGGCTCTGCTTGGAGAAGTGCTTCTGCATTGCTCGAAGAGCTTGGCCCACGACGGATCCTCCGGGATGCGCCACGGAAGAGTTTGGGGTTGATGCCTGTGGGATTCCTATATGCGTATGCATATATGTATATATATATATACATATATAGATATATGAGATATATATATATGTATATGTATATGTATATGTATGTGTGTGTATGTGTGTTTATGTAAACATACGTAGATTCAAATGGTCGCGTAACTCGAGCTCAGCATTTCGGATTCAGGGCTCAGTTTTGGCAGAGGCTCTTTCGGAATCCTAACCCAAACCCAGGCCCACCCGAAAAGTCGTCGCGTTGATCCGAGGCCATCTGCAACAATGCTGCTGTCAGTGCCTTCGAGAGTCTTGGCCGTTCTCTCCCAAGAAAATGTAAATATTGGATACCAGCCCGCCGTGGGATGTTCGCCCTGATTAGGAGCAAGAAGCAGAAGCAGGTGCAGATATGATGTTCATCGTGAACGCTTGGCTATCCGCACTATGGCGAACACTGAGCTGCGTAGCCCCCAAGCTATTCCGGCATTGCTGGCCCGAACCTTGAACCCGAAACCCTGACCAAAGAAGCTCAAAATTGCCCTCCCGCAATTGAGAATGTGTGCAGAGTCCTGATCGCCTGGTTGGGCGAAGTGCGCGCTTGCTCAACAAAGATGGTGTAGCCTGCCAGAACCCCTATCCAGCCCTGCTACTGCGCGACGACGACGACGACGACGAGGACGATTTCGAGGACGACTACGATTAGGACGACTACGAGGACGAGGGCGAGGACGAGGGCGAGGAGGAGGAGGAGGAGGAGGAGGAGGAGGAGGAGGAGGAGGAGGAGGAGGAGGAGGAGGAGGAGGAGGAGGAGGAGGAGGAGGAGGAGGAGGCGGAGGAGGAGGAGGAGGAGGAGGATGAGGAGGAGGACGACGACGACGAGGAGGAGGAGGAGGCGGAGGAGGAGGAGGAGGAGGAGGAGGAGGAGGAGGAGGAGGAGGAGGAGGAGGAGGAGGAGGAGGAGGACGACTGCGACCGCGACTGTGACGGCGACGGCGGCGGCGACGACGACGACCACTACTTCTTCTTCTCGTGGTACTAGTGCGTTTACGACTACTACGACTTCTACAAAGCCAACCTCACTCTACTGAAACCCACGCGTGCCCCAGGAAGGCCCAGCGCTGGCGCCACGCCCTGGCGCTTCTGAGCACGATGCCGGCGCCTAGCGACCTGGGACTCCTTGGCGACCTGGTTAGAGTTTAGGGTTCAGGGAATTTGGAGTTCAGGGTTTGGGTTTAGGATCAAGGAAGGTGCATTGGCCACACACAGGCCTAAGCCCAAACCTCGCTAGGCCCTAAGCCCTACACCAGTCCCCAGGATTTTGGAAGAAGCTTCGGTGTTCAGGGCGTTTTTTGGCCAGACTTCTTAGGGATTTAGGGCTTAGGGTTGGGGGGGACTTCAGGAGCTGCCTGCGTTGGTCATAGATCGCTCATCAAAGGTTCTGTGTCAGCGCCGCATCTACTTTGCATAAATCTCTAAGCCCAAAACACATCGGAGCCTCGAACCCTCAGGCCCTACCTGGCTCATACCATCCTTGACGGTTAGGACGAATCATGAACAGGTATGTTAGGTAACCCAACAGGGGTAAGCTGTAAGCTCGTACGTAAACCAGGCCTCTCCAGCGCTTTGGCTGCTTGTGCATCGGCTGGTCAGCGCGAGGCCGCCTGCCGCCTGCGCCAGGTCATGGCGGAGGAGGCGAGGGTCCAGAGTGGCCATTGGGTCTATAGGGTCTCTGAGGTTTAGGGTTTAGATGAAGGGCTTACGGTCTTAGGGTCCACGTAGGGTCTCTGGGCTGTGGAGGGTTTGGAGTTTAGGCTTTTCCAGATCATTGAATGCGTCTTGTTGTGTCTTGGTTGCAAAAGTCGTTCTCTTGGTGCTTGATGATCTCCTAAATCAGCTTTGCTTTGGAAACGTTATTCAGCCCCTAAGCTTCGACTAGTGACGAGTGTTCGTTGTCAATGGTCTCTGGCTCTGATCACATGGTTCTCCATGATGAATCCTGCCAGGGGCTCCGTCCAACCGCGAGCAGCCCGCGAGCTCAGAGTCATGATGGTTTTGCACTCCTGAGAACGGTTTAGTGCGGCTTCCTCGTAGGCAGAAAGGCAGTAATGTGCTCAGGCACCGGTCCTCCAAGATTCGGAATTGCAGACCACATCTTCGCCACAAGATCCCGAAAACTTGAGAAGCTTCCTGAACACTAAGCCCTAAAACGCTGAAAGATGTTCAATCAAGGCCTTGCCGCGTTGGTCGCTGCTTTGGGCGGCAGCCGGGCGCTGGGGCACCTGCTCGAAATCCCGTGGCTCGAAGAGAACTTCAGGGTGGCTATGGGGAAACGGCCGACCTAAGCCAGGATCACATCCCTAAATTGCTAAACTCTTGGTTGCGTTGGCATGCCATTTTGGTTCCCTGGACCAAGGAAGCTGCTGTCAGAAGCGAGAAGTGCCGTGTTGGATCTGCGAGTGCTGCCCAAAGGTGTGCTTCAATCGGAGAAAAAAAGGAAACGAGCTAAGCAAACCCTCAATCCGAAACGC